ATGATTATTTTAAAAACTAGATACGGATTCGTAGTAAACTATTCGTAGTAAACTAAAATGAATAAAACACAAAAAATAGACAGAATTTTAATAAATTGGTCGGCGACAAAAGAAGAAAACGGAATTCGGAAAAGCTTTTTCAAAATTCGGTACATTTTTCACCAAAACTTTTCAGCTTTTTTATTTTGTAGAGCAATCACAGAAAAACAATTTTACTGCCCAATTTTTAAATAAAACAACCAGGAGCCGGAAAAAAATTGTATAAAAACTTGCAATGTTTTATGAAAAATTTATGTTGTTGCCAGCAACTAACGAATGGTTATTTAAAACGAAACCCTAGCTAAGAATTCATAGTAAAAACACAAAAAATTGATCAAATTTTGGTAAATTGGCGTAAAGAGATTTTTCACTCTGTTCTACAAAAGGACTTCAGATAATTTGTTGAAAGTTGCGAATCAACTGTTATGGGCGTATTTTCCCTTGATGAACTTTAACGCACCTTTGCTTACGCTTTATTCTCTCGTCTTTTACATACCCTTTCCAAAATTAAGTTGTATAAGCCTCTACTGCAAGCGGAATCTGTGTGTAACGTTTTTAAGGAGTAAATTGACCGGAAACTGGAAAAATTCGAGCTAGTAGCTAGCATTCCTGTCGGTACACTATTCTCCATACTGAAACGATTTTTTTTTCATTTTGTGAAGCGTTAATACGAGTATTTAAAGCCATTTAAAAACAAAACATTCAAGAGCGCAGGAATAAATTTATTTTTATAAAGAAAAACTGTAAAATTACATCACAAGTTTATGCAGTTGCAAATTTTTAACATTTCATTATTTTTAAAGAAACTTTGCAGCAAATTTTAAGTATATTAAAATAAATAAAAGGAAAACGGTTGGTTAAAATAAATCCAAACGATTTTGACAAAAATGGTATTGAAAATTGACAACTTTCAGGCCCCTGATTAACTGTATGGTCTTGAATAAGTGCTGAATTAATACAGAATTGCTTAAATTTCCTTCTTAAACCGAATCTCCAGACTTTTGAAAATTTAAAATCTATAGAGTAGAAGTTGAGTTAACAAAATAAAACAGGAAAAACAGAATTGTTTGTCTGAAAAACGGACGATACTTTACTCAAATATATTAAAAATATTTATAATTTTAAAATTCAACTTTAGTCAGCTATTACAGTTGTGAAAAACATGTTTCTTAAATTTTAACCATAGTATGTCAAAATAATAATTTCAGTTATTTTAGATCAAGTATTTTCCCTTCATTGGTCATTTTCGTTCTTTAGTTTTAAGGAATACTGACTTGAAATCTTTGGTTGTTCAACTGGGAGGATCTCCTACTACAGATATTTTTGCTAAATAAGAATTTGGACCATTTGATTTTTTTTCTTGAATAAAAATGGCGAAAGAGTTCGCAGAGTTTTGTCATCAAATGCACACCTGGAGAATGGTGTATTATTCGATTGAACAAGAGAAAATATTTTACCACAAAAAACAGGAAATGCTCTGAAAACAGAAATATTTCCTCTTTACTTTTCTGTCTATAATTTCAACGTCGTTTGGAAAAACGTGTACTTCCGTTAGCCGGGATTGAAATGTATCTAAACGGACAATTGGTGGTTTGGAGTTTGGACCTGGGGGGCCAACCGATTGGGCGGTTTGTTGTTACGGTCACAATATAACGGCTGTGGGCAAAATGTCTATTTCTACAACTGGTCCGGTACTATTGGGGTGGGATATTATTAATAGGTGGTGGGTAGGGGGCAGGGTAAATAAAATGGAGGATGATAGTTGTGCCCATCTGTTCCCCTTTGTGGGGTCGCACAGCTGCACTATTGTCATTATCCCTTCACAATATCCAGTTTTTTTATTCACCTCCGCCATCTTTTTCAACGTCTTGGTGCAGATCATAATTTTTATCAGCGTTTGTCTACTGATCAATTCGACCTGAAAGGAAAAGGGGGAAAAAACTAGGAAGATCTTAAACATCGGGGGTTTTAAGTAGGTAACATTTGACGTTTTTTCAACGCTTCTTTTTCTATAGCCTTCACAACTGTCATTCTGTTCAGGTGTCTATTTAGCTCACGTTTATCCAACGAGCACGGTAGATGACAACTGTTTTATATACTTATATTTGAAGCAAAGGAATTGAGTGACAATAAACCCTACAAAACCCAAATAAATCTTATTAGTTTGAGTCAGTTATACTCCTGAAAATCAACATAAACAACAAATTCTCCTTCGTTCCTGACAGAATAGACGATGGAAATTACCATTAATAAAACTGCGCTACTTATAGCGAAGGATTGGATAAGCACATTGAAATACGACCAATTGGTTGTTTTGAACCATTTTAGTCTCCCTTTCTCAGTGATTTGGTCAATCAGGCGCGTTTCGACGTCTCGCCATCTTCAGTAGTGATCCTGAATAAGGGATCTAAACTAGGCGTTCACTACCGAAGGCTTCAAGTGAAAATCGTTTTATTTACTACAACTGTAGTAGAAAACAACAATTTACTAGAATTTTCTGGGTAATCGCCTTATTTTTTTGCTATTTAATACAGTTTATCGAACTATTTTATGGTCGAGCTCGGATCTTTTCTGTTCCTAGTTGATTTGTGCCGTAAAACAGTTACACACCGATTCTTCATTTAAAACGTAATTTTTGTCTGAGAATATGCGTAAGAGAAATGACAAAAACCACTGAAACAATTGATTCCCAACTTAAACTTCTTTTTTATACAACTTTTAATATGGTGAATAGATTTCGAGAAAATGTATCGAAAGTCGAAAAAAAAAATTATTCTACTAAGCCTGTATTAACCAATAATTTTTAAAATTTGTTTCGCTATACTAAGAATTTGTAGATTAAGGTTGTTAAAAATAATGAATCATTAAATTTTCATTATTAATATTAAACGTTTATTATTGCTTTACAAAATGAAAAAATCGTTTCAATATGGTTTTTTGAACATTTTTGGAGAAAAGTGTACCGAAAGGTGAGAAAATAGAACTTTTTGGGAAAGTGATTCTCTGATTTTCCCGTGCCGTTTCATATAAAATTCATTTGGTTTATTATAACCATCATATTCTCTTTTATTTGCTTTAATAACATACAAATTTGTCTGACAGGGTTTTTAAAAAAAGGGAAACGTTACATTTTGAACTGCCTAAACTTGTGGTATAATTTTCTTTTCTTTATACAAATAAATTTATTTCTACTCTACTGAGTGTTTTGTTTTTAAATCGCTTGTTAATATTATACCCTCATCATTGTAAAACAATTTAAAAAAATAAGCGTTTGGGAGAAAAATGAACCGAAGGTACACCGGAACACACGAGTCTCACTTTCAAAAACCTATTTGAAGCTTTACTAAACCTCGCAATCTCTTGGAACCAGTTTCATTCTATTCACTAAAAATTGTAGTTAACTGCATAAAAAGAATATATTTAAAAACTGCGTTTTAGTTCACAAAAATTACCGTTCTTGACACACAAAAAAATGTAACAGAACGGTATCAGCAGGTCGGTGGTTAATAGCAGTTTCATTACGTGTAAGCTAAATGCGTTTGACAGTGGACAAAGCGAGAAAAAACGAACCTAGATAATTACAAGAATCTGCCTGACAACAGTTCATCAACTCGGAGGCCACCCGGAATAATTTCAGAACACTTGACCACAGTCTTCCTCTAACTCTTCTTTTCATTGTTACACGTTTGAACATTTCATTAGCTATTTAATATTAAGTATTTAGTATATTATTTAGATAAAAAGGTTTATGAGAAAATAGATTGATCCATGCTGAGAACATTTGCTTTCTTTTCACGAGAGAAAATGTCACGAGAAAATAATAATAAATAAAATAAAAATCGTTTTTATTTCAATTTTAATTGTTGTCTGGCAAGAAAATATATTAATAAGTATACAAATACATCGAGAAATCGATCAAACATTCGTTTGGCTTTTTTGGATTTTTTTTATAAAGAAGAAAATCAAGTGCTGGTCAACTGAATAAGACGATAGTCACTTTTGCCGAGCTTTTGGAGATTTATTTTCCCCTTCCTCAAGGCCTATGTTTGTGTCTCCGAAAGCTGGCAAAAGTGACTATTGTCTCATTCAGTTGACCAGCACCGGAATTTCTTCCTATCTTTGATCTGTGGTCGATCCTGTCATTCAAATTTTTTTTTCTTTCACTCATATCTTCTTTATATTTATTTATTTTCTACTACGTTGAACTTCGCTTGCCTTTTAACATTTGCATCATTATGATTAAATTAAGCTTGTGAAAGTTAAAAGACTTATAAATACTTATAAACGTAATATCTTATAAAAAGATTACGGCGTGTAGTTGTTACTGTTATCATTTGATTGGTGAGAGAGGATTGTATCTAACATAGATAAATTATCTCAATTTTTTGAGAAAAACGATACGAGATACACGCTTAATTGATTTTTATGATTGTTGTAATCGAAGGATCGATCGTTCTTCTTACACAAATCACCACTAGAAATTTATCATTCTTAATTGCTGGATGATAGCTTGAACTTGAACCCAGCACATTAGTTAATATTTTATCGAGTCGGACGAAACAGTTTCTGGAACGTTCGAATTATCGTTGACCAGATAAAGGAACGACTTGGAAAACCGAAAAATGTTTACTAATCTAATCTGTACATGAACTGCCTTGGTATAGTTGAATTTTTAGAATGTAAAAATGAATAGACTAGGAAGATGTATTCATGTTACACAGGCAAATGTTTCCACAAATGAAGCTGAGGGTGTCCGGACTGGACGCCAAAGCGAAGTACATACTTCTGCTGGATATCGTCGCCTCCGACGACTGCCGGTACAAATTCCATAACAGGTACTAGGTGATGCCAGGATGTTCAAAGAGAACGACCGATGTGCCCCCGCCCTTCCCCATACCGACCACACTCACTAACAACTTATCGCAAGTTATTTTAGTTTCTTGTTTTTTTTCTTCTTATAGGCGTATGTTTCCCGCCTACAAAGTGCGAGTAATGGGGCTTGACAAAAAGGCCAAATACATCCTCCTTATGGACATCGTGGCTGCCGACGACTGTCGCTATAAGTTCCATAACAGGTAGAACGACCTAAATACATATATGCCTTAACGCTTCGCTCGGTCTCCAGGCACGGATTCCATCAAAAAACCTTTCCATTTCCTTATAAATCCGTGACATCACGAGGCCGAGCGAATCCTTCATTTAAAAAACATTAAAAAGTCTCGTATCGATGCATGTTGTGCATGACAATTATTTGGCCTTTTCGGAAGCCACATTCATAATCATTGTTTTGTCTAAATTTAATTTTAACGCATGCCTTATATTTATTTTCGTGTGTTTGGCTGTAGAATATCCAGCTGAAAATTCACTGGCCTAAACCACTCACCTTACAACCCTCATCCTTTTCATTTAGTGGATTTGGTGCAGGAAATTGGCTTTAATTAGTATTAGTACTTAGAATAATATGCACTAACATTTTTTTTTTAGAAATTTTAGACCGTTCGTCTCTTCTCAAAAATGGGTCAAAATTAATAAACATTATGGTTTGAAATTAAATTCAATTTTATTTTCCGTTTCATGGAAATTTTCCCTCATCCGAATGATTCCAAAACGTTAAAACTTCATAACCTTCCAATATCCTAGATGTAGAAATAATGTTCGGTGTGTAATGTACTGCGCCTTTTGAGATGTATTGTATCCCTCGTTCTGTATTTATCCACCGATGAGTCCAAGTTACGTTGTGCCTACTAAAACACTTCCTCCTGATGGCAAATGTACCACAGTTTGTTAGTAGGTCTTTTGGTATTTTTCTCCTTTGCAGAATCAGAACGTGCTTAGATTTTACCAATTTTCTTCAGATGCCCATTAAGTCTGCAGTGTGTCGTCATGGATCCTGTTACGATGCGAAATGTTTTCCTGCTTCCTTTGATGCATTCTGTTGTTTCTTTCCTTCCTTGCTAGAACGTTCTCATTCCACCATCGCGTTGTCAATATCATCCTGCGCTTTTGAGCAAAAGAAGTTCGGTTGACTAGATGTGAAACAAGTCTTCGATCAGGGCTCACTGAGCTACTCTGGAAGCTAAAGAGAGCCTTAACTCTTACCTACTACCTGATCCTAAAATCCTACCTAACCTGATCCTTTCGAGTCATAAATGGCCTCTCTCTATCAGCCGGCTATCGCACAGTTGCAAGGGTACTTCAATTAAGTATTCACAGTAAACATTGATGATATCACCATCCTTTGCTCTCGACTAGAAACATGCAAACCTATGTCATATCCCTTGAGCAATGGTTGAAGCGGTGGAAGAAGACAACAAACAAATAAAACCGTGAATATTTCACCCTTTGGAGATTAACCGTTGCTATTAAGTACTACAATAGTATCCCTTGACTACCAGCTAATGTATTCCGCTATGTTGGGCTATACATTGACAAACGACTTACATGGAACCAATACACACGACTTCAAAGAAAAGAACTAAACAAACTTAAGTAACCATTCCCGATGTTTGAAGCGTCACTGTCTTCTTTTATCTTATTTATGTATATATTTTATATTTTTGTGTTCATTTTTTTTGTTTGGTGTTCTAAAATGTTCTAAAATTTTCTTAAGCGCAACAATTGACGCAGATCTAAATTAATTGATTAATTTTAAAAAATCCGTTTCAACTTATTGAACTGCTCGACCACGCGGTCGTGGGGTCGATTCTCATCATCGCTCCTTGAATTTTCTTTCACGCACACCTTCCCTCAAAAAAATACCCAAATTAGGAGCAAAATAAATAAAAATGTCTCTGGCTAATATAAAAAGATAAGGAAAAAAAAGAACATTACATAATTTTATGTTATTTCAAAAGCGAATAATTGATATAATCAATTTTTTTGTGTATATTGTTCTCTTGTTTGTTAATCGTGTCCCCGATCTACCCACAATCATATTTTTTCAATTTTTCTCCATAATTTTTTTCCTTATCAATTAGAGAAAAATGTTTCTTAAATAATCTAAATGAGGCGGCCAAACCCTGTTTTGCACTAGATACGACTTATGTAACCAAAATTGCTAGCTATAAAGTTTTACAACCCGTCAATTATGTTAACATTAATGAATTTTATTTAAATTATGGACGGATAAAAATCCCTTAATTACTTTAGGTATTTAAATCTCTTACAAATTTGTAAATGTTTATTGATCGAGTCTCCCACGAGGAAAATTTCGACATGACGTTTTTTGATTAATGAATTTAATGAAAACAGGATATTCCTAACAACCTGATACTTCCTTACTTACTGACGAAACGGAAATTTTCTCCTGGTACAATCCTGTCAATTCTTAAACTAGCAGGGAATTAAACTAATCAGCAACGAACCTGCTCTCCCATCTAGTCAAATAAAATCCTTCCTGCTGCAAACAAACCTCCGACAACAGACGTTAAATTCACGAGACTCAAGAGACCAGAACCGATGAGATGATGATGATATTGGATATTAGGAAGTGGGGTTTTTTATTCCCCTAATACTGCAGCTACTACTCCTGGCCTATTGTACTTTTCTAGTTCCTTAGTTCAATGTCATCGACTCAATCATAGGTTTTCATTATCGATGTTTTTCTTCAAGAATGAAACCTTACGATAGCCTTTCAAGACCACTTGACAAAAGACTAATTTACAATAGTATGCTAAAACCTGGACTTACTGACTGGAACTTTTGTCTTCTAGCATTCTAACAACGAATCCAAAATGCAAAGAAAAAATCCTAAATGCTTCTACGTATGCAATGGCACCATCCACAGTGACTGTAGTAATTGGTGACACGATAATATTCAGATATAGCAAATATGACAAATCACTTCCAGTCAACATCACTCATCCATCAGTCGCAGAATATCCTCAAAACCTCCAAATAGGATATATCAAGGATAATAGGATATCTATAATGGATACAGTATTGCTTGTTGACCCAGAACAATAGTTGTAATATTCATTAAATTTTAAAAACTGGGCATTTATGTTGATGATTTTCTTCTTTTGTTCAAAGGTATATTTTTTAAATCACGGATAATTTAAAATTTTATCCTTTGGAAAAGTATTACATCACTTTCCTTACCTCCTGTATAAACGGGAATGATAATCAATTACAATTGCGATGTAAACCTTAAAACTGCGGTTATCTAGGAAGTTCCAAGTCATAAAAATCGTATTTTCTAAAAACCCCAGGCGTACTTCTCAATAAAAGTTCCATCATGATCCATGATCGGAAGAATTGTTAATAAAATCATGCTTGAGACGTGTGTTTATGTGTCGCCTTTTATAAAGTCAGGGTGTTAAAAGTGTTGAAGGTATAACGAGCGGCTTGGAAAGGTTGAAACGTTCTTCCTTTTTATTTTAATTCTCGTAAAGCGGCACTGTTTAAGTGTCAACCTATTCGCAGTATTTTGTCGTCTTTATTATCCCTTTCGGTTATAACGGAGACGGTTCATTCGTTGCATTGAAAATCATGCTTTTTATGAAAACTGAAGCCTCACACTAAACTCCGTAATAACCGTCAAAATTAAGTATAAAATGTATTTTTCCCCTTTTTTTATTTTTGCAATTCGTTACAATCTCGCCTTGGCACTAAAAAAACTTCAATTTAAAAGGAGGCGTTAAGCCTCTTAGAAAACTTACATTTCATTATGGAAAAACAATAATAAATACAACTTTGAAGTTGATTACACTTGAAAGTTCATTATTTCGCGAAAAAATAGTACTTTGCAGACGTCGTGGCAAACGTTATTTTTTTTTAATGGCATTACATTTAGTATTTTAAGTACTTTCAAGTTTAAAGTTAGCCCAAGTGCCAAGGTTAATACTATGCCTTGGAAGTTTTCAAGTCAATGTTCGTTACATCTCTCGTTTCACTATTTTATCGAGTTTGTCCAACCAAATATGTAAAAAAGTATATGTATATCAAACTAGACAAAAAAATAATGTCGATATACAAAATGATAAGAATTTGATGTATACTCGTGTTTTACAATTCGTCCTTCCTCTAAAATCCCTTCACACGACAATTTCAGGCCAATAAATACGTTCACTCATCGTACACCAAGGGATACAAAAGTATCAGTATTATATGCAATAAAACAACCTTGTTTCCTCCAAAAATCCTAACAGGGGACCCAAAGTTGCTGTGCTCAAGCTTAATGCTCATATCGGGTTGCATACACGCTCTTTATATGGAGACAAGGAATTGCAATCTTCAACTATTGGGGCACGCCGAGCAACCGCCCTCTATATGATGAATACAAATCTAATTGCGAGTTGATAAGGTACATAATCTTCCGTCATGGGCCCTGTCATCCTATACATTCACTCTAATAAATACACTAACTCTCACTACATCAAAAGGTGCTAACTACTAAGTTCGAAGTACAAAATGCCTGCTGTACTCCGGAAAAAAGCCCTTTTGTTCGTGAATATTTGCTTTTATCGTACTCCCGATTGCGGGTATTGTTGTTTGTTCATAGCTAAGAAAAGTCGAAAGTCAGATGGGGGAAAATCTGGAGAGTACCGAGGGTGTGTAGGACCGTCAAGAATCATTATCAGCTGTATGAGTTCTTGCGTTGTCCTGATGAAAAATTATACCTTTTCTGTTGACGAGAACAGGTTGTTTCTGGGCCAGGGCAAGAGATACTTGCAGTTGGCTTTAGCAGATTTCTGCGAGGATATGTGTGCCAAGTGGCAAGAATGCACAATGCCTGCTCTATTCCACCAAACACAAATCATGTCCTTTCGTTAGTGAACATTTGGTCTTTGCGACAACGGGACAGGCTCATTTGTTGACAGCCAATGGACCTCCTAGTGTTACTGTACAGGATTTTTCGTCTCATGTTACTTTCCAAAAAAACATCTTTTCTTTGAGACGTGAAAGCTATAGAAGGCAAATGTTTAAAACGCTCGTTACCATCGACCAACTTACGAAGAACCCATTTTCTCAGCTTCCACGTCTTCCCAAGTCCTCTCTGGCAAGCCTCTAACATATTTGACTTGAATCAAGTTCGATAGCTTCCCTCAATTCATCCTCATTCAAGATTACCAGACCGTGGTTCATCCTCAATCCCCTTATTCCCGGAAGCAAACTTTTTGAACTACTCACTCACACGACTCATCCCTTTAGTCCAAATTTTACGAGCTCGGCAAGCCTAGTATCCAGCTTAAATCCATTCAATACACACGAATTGTGGGCGTTGAAACCATGAAAAAACACTATTTTATCATTTAGAGTTATTAACTTATCAAAACACGTTTGCTTATTGAACTGTTCGCGAAATTAACGAATTTGAAACAGTAACAAATGAAAAACCGCACAACTTTTCTGGCTACTGGTATAACTACTGGAAACTCCATAAAATAGTGTAACCTGAGATAATTAAAAATTTTACCGCCAACGACTAAACAATTGCATATTTGTGTGCCGTTGAAATTGATGTATTATTTGTGAGTATTAACCAAATAAAGTTGTTTTTACGTTGTCATATAAATAAAACTGACATAATATTTTTATAATTTTTTATGCAATTTTTCACTATAGACTTTTTGAAGGTTGGTTTGAAAAAATAAGTCGATCCTTTCATGTCGTCCAAAGCTTGTAGAAGGTGATCGAGAACAGATGATTGAGCCAGGACGATAACGTCAGCTCTGGGTCGAAGAGGACGGGCCTTGTTTTAACGTACATTTTTTTGTTAACCCCATTTTGAGAAGAGATACGAAATGTCAAACGGGACGTTATCCGTAATATGTTGTCACTGATATATCGTTCCCTTCTGTTTTGTTTTTTGTTCCACGTCGGCAGTAGGTGGATGGTGGCCGGTAAAGCGGACCCAGAAATGCCCAAAAGGATGTACATCCATCCCGATTCGCCGTCGACGGGGGAGCAGTGGATGCAGAAAGTCGTCTCGTTCCACAAGCTGAAGCTGACCAACAACATCTCGGACAAACACGGATTCGTGAGTATTTAATTTCCTTCCACAGTTTATGCTGAATCGTTTAGTCACAAAATGTTAATTTTACATTCTCATGTAGATCCCGTCCCTCACTCAATCTCACTCCCTGCCCTGACAAACGAAAATTACTTCGAATTAATTCAGAGCGACCACGCCTACACTACAGCGACTCAGCGACTTTTAAATACCCACCCATTGTTTAACACCCACTTTGTATGGATTTTAAGTCAACTATTTACATCTACAAGGATTTGACACCTCGTCTATTGTACATTGTGAATTGCAATTTTTGATCCCTCGATCACTCAGGAGCCTTCATATTACATCTTTCCCAAGAGACAGCTTATCTTCGGTTATACCACATGACAAAAATAAACGCGTAAAACGGCGGCCCTTCTTTCCAGATAATATCGAGTAAAACGGGATGAGAAGCGGAACGAGTTTATTAGGACAAAATCGATTCCAGATGTCTTACCAATTCTAGAAGTTAGCCGCTTGTCTAACTGGTTTTCGAGGCCTGTCCTCTAAGTTTGAACTGTTTAATCGACAACATCCAAAAACCGACTATGTTTGGCTTAAGAATAACCACAATATTTGTATAAATTTATACATCAATGTTCAACACTTAAAAGAATAAAATCTTTGTTCCTTTTTAAGTACAGTTTTAAAACGAGCATATGAATCTGATGACGGGATATTTATTTGTTCTTTATACTCCACAAATATTATTTTTCCATCCCTATCATGTGTCGGGCTTTTATCAAATTAATTTTTGTCTAATGTTATGATATTACCTCGAGGAATATCGAGTATTCTGGGGTACTGTGAATGAATGAGTAGATGTCACTTATTAGCGTGATTGACAGGGGTTATTCCAAATTACCCCAAAGAATGTCGAGAACTCTTGCGAAGTATGAATATAATTTATTAGCGTGAATGAAGGGGCTTATCCCCAATTACCCTTGGAATATCGAAAACTCTCGGTTGGTTTGAATATTATTTATTAGCGTGAATGAAGGGGGCTTATCCCCAAATTCGCCCAGAAATATCAAGTACTCTCTGGTAGTATGAATGAATTAGTGAAAATTTATTAGTCTAATTGAAGGGGCTTATCCTCAGTTACTCCTAGGAGCCTCAAGTATTCTGGGGTTGTACGAACGCTAACCAGAAATGTTTTATCTTTTTTCAGAGTATCTGTGTTATTTTAACCACAATTGTTGATGCCTTGAAGGACAAAGGGCTAGCAATACGATAAAATAATAAGAGTCGGTTACAATTATATCATATGCCTTGACTGGAGAAACATAAAAAAAAATATCACCAATTTATTTTGCCGACCCTGAAACTAACAAAAATTGTTCAGAAATGCAAAAACAAAAATTAAATTTTCAATATTTTCACACGATAAAATATTGAAGTTTCCACTATTTTTATTTTCTATCAATTTCAGATAAATAATTTACAAAAACTGCCAAGTTCCCTTTAAGCAAACCTTCCGTGATATAATATTTCATTCAAAAGGGGGAGATTTTTTTAAATCCTCAGTGGGGGCAAACACTAAACGTTATAAACAGGGGGATATGGCCGAAATTCGTTTTGAGGCGTCTTAATTCCTTTTCCCTTCCCCGGATATCCGTTTCATTCGGCAATAACCTGTGATCGGGTAGGAAATTTTTTTTTAATGCCTCACCAAGAGGGAGTGGGTTTTTAGACCGCCTGGTCTGGTGGGTTTTGGAAGTGTAGGTAAATATTAGTAATGGGATGTCTAATACAAACATTAGTTATTAACCTTTATGTTGGCGGAGTAAACCTCACCCTCACGCTTTAGATTTGTTTATCATTATACCCCTAACCTTTGGAATCGTAGTGAAAGGGGCTTTCAACGGTCGGGTATCATGAACGACCCCCTGTAACTTTTTAAATCCGGAAGGACTTTGTTTTCCTCTGTTAAAATACACGGTTGATTTAAAATTTAAAATCCGTTTAGCTCTTTATGGCCCAATGTTATCTTAGAGCAAGAGGAACATTACTAATTTGGTTAAAAGGTTAGCTGGAAGTTCAGTACGTTTAGTGACAGAGAGGTTACTTTGGCGCTAAATAAATCAGTGTTGCCAATACACGGGGAGAAACAGAGCAGGATCAACACTGCGCCTACCCTAAAGTCACGGGATTTCCTGCTAACCTTGGTATGGTATAGTAAAAAAGGATACTAGGAAGCGGGGATTGCGCTCCCCAGGCACTGCTGCCTTCTGGCTTATTGTACCTTCCTAATTCCTTGGCTCAGTGCAATAAACTTCAATCCTTCTCCTTAGAAGTATCAGGTCATTTACTGTCGTGCTGCAATTTGATTCCCTAGGTTTTTTCCGTACGTTAGGTTAAATACGTAAAATTGAGCTGTTGCTTCACATTCGAAGATGATATGAGTGGCTGTTTCCTCCTCCTCATTACATAATCTGCAAATGGGATCATCGCTGTATATACCCACGTTGTGTAGATGTTTTCCCAGATGCCAGTGACCGGTTAGTATTCCTACCATTCCTCTGAGTTTAGCCATCTCCAATTGCAGCAATGCTTTTGCCAGTTGGTGAGGGTTGTTTCATCACACGTTTACTATGTCTAGCACCGCTAGGGTTTATCCACTTCTCCTTTTGTTTTGTTTGGATCCATTCTGCGATGGAAGATTCGATATTTCTTTTTGTTATCCCAAGAATAGGTTCGGGGCCTACGTATGGTCTTGCAGATCCTCCTCTGGCCAGACTGTCTGCTTTCTCGTTACCGAAAATTCCCCTGAGCCCTGGCACCCTGCTAATCTTAAACAAAATTGTAAAGTTGGCATTGCTCTGGAGCAACTTTTGGCAAGAAAGGGTTCATTTTGTACACTGAGAAAAATACACTAATGGACCAACTGTAGTGAATACAATTACATTTGATTAAAATAATAAATCTACATGGTCGAATAGATTCTATTTTATATTTAAATGTTTAAATAAATAGAAGATGAAATTCCTGTGCGGTTAAAAGGTGATAAAAATGAAAGATGAGAGAGAAGGATCAGCAAAGTCATCAGCAGGCTTTCATAAAATTTGTAAGTGTCTTTTAAAGAGGTTTATAAAACGTCGGCAGTGCATTGATTCAATGAACGATTAACCGTCCGACGGTGAGCCCTAGGTGTAGACATAATAAAGTAAGTGGTGGGTACAGTCCGTCTGGAAAAAAAATAAATAAAACGAGATAAACAGGACTTTGAGAGTCGGTCCGGTTGTAAGGGCAGGATGGAAACGGTAGCATTCGAGACACAAAATGCCGTCTGTTTCTAATCCTGAAAATAAAAAATTCCGAGGCGAATTTTACAGCAACAATTCAAGAATTTTGTATTAGGTGTTTATCTGAGGGGAACGAGACAGACCTACCTGGAACTTGTTTTAAGACCACCACAAGTTTGTTTACAACTCCTCGGCTTTTTTTTCCCTTCCTCCGCGTTCCTTCCCATTAGCCTCCGCGAGGCAATAAAAGATATTTTTTCAATATTACCTCTTCCTTAACGTCCTTCTGAATACCGATCGGGAATAAGTTCCACTATTTACAGGCGCCCCCCGGGCCCTTTTTAATAAAACCGACATCGTCCCGGACCGTCTAAACGAGGTAGCGGGGAAAACAAACAAATCAATAAAGTTAAAACTTCGGGCCGTTTTCCTCCTTTTCGTATCTGGTCGAAATCACTTTTGATTAAACTTCTTGACGAAAATTGTACCACAGTTCGTAACATTTCTCATATAACTCCAAATATCAACATAGTTTCGTGCCCAGTTGAAGGAACTTTACTCTCGGGATATATTATTTATTATACTGTAATTGCTTTATATCCCAGGCTCTTGCAACAGATCGGCATTTGTTAGACGGTGCAGAGGTCCATCATTCGCCACACACCTTCACTTTAAATTACAATACAACATAAACTAAAAAATCACCATAAATAAATCACGAACAAACGCTTTTTAAACTCTGAAAAGATCATACTTTATCCTGAAATTTGGTCGGCATATCCTCAACGGTTTTGGCTGATCTCAGTTTAAAACCGACTACCTACGACTATGGGCATAAATCCTTTCCTGACTATTTATTAAATATTAGTTTCATTATTGTACTTACTAATTTTTTACTCTCTATATGGAGGCAAGGAATGACTTCAATTAAGTTTGTCTCATCGACCATCCTTTCTCTACATGCCTGACACAAATCTAATTAAGGGTCTATCGTTTTCTTAATGTTCCACCACAATACAAATATACGCTAATAAACACATTCACTATCAAGATATTCAAAAGGGAACCCAAACTATCTATAAGTACTACATACAATAAAACAGCCCTGTTTCATCCAAAAATCGGAAAAGGAGACCCAAAAACTACTGCGCTCGAGTACTGCACGACCTCTATGTGGAGCCAGCTGGCTTCAATTATGTAGGAGTCATCCAGCAAACTTGTTCTCAGGTGATGTCTTCATTGAACGGCTTCTTCGCATACGAAGATGATCTGGATGGTTGTTTCTTCCTGTACACGACAAGAAGGATAACCTGAAGTACTGACATATGCTTACGAGCCATCCTCTATAATAAGATTCATCGCATCATAGGACAAAAACAATTCTTCCAACTCCACAATGCTGTTGCTTAAAATGTCTTTTGTGCAAATTTGACTGTAAATGAGTTTTCTTTCCAAGTAGCTCTCTTCATACGATTCGAAAATGGGTTGATCTCTACTTTATTTATGGAATGTTTTTCCAGTACCTGAATTTTCTTGAGCAGTACACTCGATAGGTTTCAGGCAGTTGGTTTAAGGTCCAGCCTGGAACCGACCGTGATTAAGGACTTAGTGAACAATGACTGATTACATTCCCAAGGTTGGAAGGTTCCTGACATACCTTGGTCTGTCAGTCGCGAAGGAGTTTTCGCCTTCTTCAGTGTGTCTCTGTGATTTCTATGAGGTCTCAAGGGACTATTGCGG